TGCGGGGCGGGGTGGAAGCGGGGGCGGTTGGGGGGGCGACGGCGCAGATGCGGGGCCCGACGCCGCGCGAGCTGCCAGTGCAAAGGGCGGCGGGGCGCGCGGAGCTGCCGGCCTTCGGCGAAGCGCTCGCGTGCGCCATCCCAACCTTCGAGATCTTCGCGGACCGCGAGAGCATAGTAGAGATCTCCAGAAAGAAAGCGGCGGCGCGCCTGCTGGGAGCGGGCGCGCGCAGACCCGCGGCGTCGGCTTTGGCGCGAGGTGAGGGGCCATGGGCTCGAGGTGAACGTGGCGAACCGCGCGGGGGCTTCTTGCTCGGGCCGGCGTCCGGCGCGGTCAGATGCGCAGGGCGGATCATTCGATGGCGGCGTCGGAAGATGGCGGGGGGTGGGGGGGGGGCTTGGCGCGCCGGCGGGGGGGCGGGGAACACTGGGCAAGAGGATGCCGAAACCGCCGCCCGCGCAGAAGGCGCGCGGTCGAGGAGGAGAGGCAGTGGATCGCGTCGCGGCCGTGCGGCGCGGGGGGGGGGGGGCGGCTCTGGCTCGGGCGCGGTGGAAGCCTGGGGGGTCGGAGTGCCGGCCGCCGCCGTGGGCGGCGCCGGGGGCGAGCAGGGCGGGGGCCGCTGTGTCCCCGGAGGCGTGCGTGTCTTTGGCTGGGGCGGGATGGGCGGCAGCTGCTGGTCGCGGCGGTGAGGGTGCTGCGGGCGGCGAGCTGCCGCGGGCCATGGGTCGCAGGGTGGAGGTGCGCGGCGTCTGCGTCGCGCGCGCGGCTTCCAGTGCCGAGGCCCACTCGCGATGGCGATGGCGATGGGCGATTCGAGGCGCAAGTTGGGCGGCCGCATGCTCGCGGGCTCGGCGAGCGCAGGCGAGCAAATTGCTCGCGAGCTTGTAGGTTCAGGCGCCAGAACGCCATGGGCACCGAGCGGGTGAGCTGCTCGACGAGGCTGGGGAGACCTCATTCGGGCTGCGGTGGAGCGCGGCTCGGGCCCCTCGGCGGTGTCCGCCCTGGGCCATGGGGATAAAAATGAGAAGGCCTTCTTGTGGCTTTTTGGGCTGCCAAAGGGGCCCTTGGCCCGTCCTGACGCCTTCGGTGGCAGTCGCGGGGGCCGCTCTGGGCCGTTTTGGTGCCTTTTCGGAGGGGGTGCAAAACCGTCTTTGGGAGCCCCTGGGGCAATCTGTGGGTCCTCCTGGGCCGACTCGGGGCCCTCTAGGCTCTAGGGGGCCTCTTTGATTTGTCTTAGAGCTGTCTTGGAGGCTTCTTGGAGGCCTCTTTGGCCGTCTTCGCCGGTCGGAGATTGAAATCGGCGAGAACCTCAATTTCTTCAAACACCAAAAGCAAATCCATGGTTTGGACTTCCCCGGGCTCTCCAGGAGGACTCTTGGAGCCCTCTCGGGCCGTCTTGAGGGCCTCTTGAGCTGTCTTGCGGTTGCCTGGGGATTCTCCTGAACCGTCTCGGTGCTATTTTGGAAGCCGTCTTGGAGGCCGTCTTGGCCGTCGGGGAAAATGCGACTGGATGGCGCACTCACGGGGGCCGATCTCAGGACGACGCGCGCGATAGGGGGCGGGGGCGGTCTTAGAAATCACAAAGAACTTCCCAGACAATCTACGAACATTAAAACGCCCACGCTGTGCAGGCACGGCGGCGGATAAGAGAAACGGGGTGGATAGAGATTATACAAGGACGATTCGGAGCAGGAGGGGGACGAATGTCGTCACATGTGGCATGTGTCGTCGCCAGGATGAGGATAGGAGCAGGAGGTACAACATATGAGGAGGATCAGTATGACTGTCGTGACATGTGACACGTATCGTCCCGAAGAGGAGAAAGAAGGGGACGATGATGAGGACCTTGTCGCTTTAGGCTTTGGCAGACGTAGCATGCAACGCGTTGTTTCGTGTCGTGCCAGGGTGCCTTTCCTCGTCTGCGTCGACGTCAATCCCACATCCCTTCTGTTCTTCTTCTTCTTCTTCTTCTTCTTCTTCTTGTTCTTCTTCTTCTTGCAGCCTCCTGGGTGTCTCTTGGGGGGCCTCTTGGGGGCCTCCCGAGGACCTCTTCGGGTTTTCGTGGGTTTTTAGGTTCTCGTCATTTTGGGCGTTTTGGGGGCCTCTCGGGTCTCTGTGAGCCGCGTTTGGGCGCTTTTGGACAGTCCGGCGCTCTCGGAATCAGCCTCGGGGGCCCCTCTAGGCTGCTTTGGGGCCTTCCTCGGGCCCGTCACGGCCGTCTTGGCAGTCTTTTCGGCCGTTTGGTGGCCTCCTTGGGCCATCTTGGAGTTAATGGAAACTTGAACAGGTGGGAACACCAAAACGCGAACGTGGAATTGACAACTTTCGCCTCTTCGGGTCCTCTTGGAGGTCATCGGAACCCGTTACGGGCAGTCGTTAGGCCTACGGGGGCGTACTCGGCCCTCTTGGACCGTCTGGGGGCCAGCTTGGCTCGCGTCGGAAGCTATTGTGCCGTCGTTGGGGCCCAGAGACAAAAGTACCACGACCACGAGCTAATTACGGGGGTGGCTGTCCCACCCTCTCGAGCTGGTGGCACCTCGTTCCAGGCATGCCTCCAGAGAGTTCCCGGAGGTAGGAACCACCAGCTCGAGGGGAGGGAGCGCCCCCCCCGCCTACCTGTTGGCAGTGGCACTCTTGTCTCTCCTGATTTGTGGCCCTGGTGGCCTGCCCGGGCCGCCCGGGAAGACCGATCGGCTTGTTTTCCACCACCGTCACCAGAAGTTGGAGGAGGAGGAGGAGGAGGAGGAGGAGGAGGAGCAGGAGGAGGAGGAGGAGGAGGAGGAGGAGGAGGAGGACCCCCTCCCCCTCTCCTACTGCTGGTGGTGGTGGTGGAAAATGAGGCCCACCAGAGGCAGCTCTCCTGGGCGCCGCCGACGCACCGGCGGTGCGCCAAGGGGGAGGCGGCGGGGCGCCCGGGGAGGCGCGGATGGGAGCTCACGCGGGAGCGCTGCGCGAGGGCCTGTGTGTGTGTCGGCGGCTATGATGAGCCGTGGACGGCAGCACCAACCACAGCGTTTTGCTTCTGCCGGTACTTCGCCACTGGGTTCCTGCCTCTGCAAGCACGTCGATTTCGGCACCGCCTGATCCCAAGGCTTTGCCTCCCCCCGGCCTCGTTCTGAGGCTGCGCCCCCCCCCCTTCTCCTCCCCTATCTCGGCGTAATTCAAGCTTCGCGCGGCCCGCTTCGCTTCGACGGGAAGAGGTGCGCTCTCGACCCGCGAATCAAAACAAGTGTGTGTGTGTGTGTGTGTGTGTCGGCGGCGAGCGAGGGGGAGAAGTGAGAAGGAGAAGGCCCTCTCAGAAGGCGGCGGGACCTCTCAGAAGCCCTCCCGCCTTCTGAGAAGTGTTCTCTGTCTTCGGGGAAGGCTTGGGGCACCTCTCAGAGGGCGTTGGGACTTCCGAGCCTTCTGAGAAGGCCCGCCCCTTCTCACTTCCCCCCCCTCGCTCGCCGCCTAGTGTGTGTGTGTGTGTGTGTGTGTGTGTGTGCGCCCGTTCGAATCAAGGCGGGCACGTCCCGTTCAGGAGGGACATTCAAAAAAGTTGAAGAATAGTCTGTGGACGATCTTTGGGCTATGGTCTACAATTTTGGGATCTTTGTTTGACGTTTTTTATTGTTCGTCCAGCATTCCCTGTAGGAGTACATGCCCGGCCTAACCTTAGAATACCTACGTCATCCTAGACACAACTTGGTATTCTATCACGCCTGAACGGCCAGGGGTCACGGTGGCGAAGTGAGGCTTCGCACAGTGGAGACCCAGGCCAAGAAACACCCTGCTTGCCTCCGGTGCCCTGGGTTTCTTGGGTTTCGATGGTTTTGCGATGGAAGCCGTAACGTTTCCACACTTACAATCAATTAACGTGGTTCCAGGGTTTGGTTTCTTGTGGGAGGTTTCTTGTGGAAGGTGTCTTGTGGTCGAACTCCTAATGGATCACGCCTTAACGCGCCAGGGGGCACGGTGGCGAAGCGAGGCCTCTGACGCATGATGGAAACCTTCCGTGGCCGCCTCAGAGGGCACTGTGTCCAACCTGGAGGCGTGGGACGTGGGTGATCAGAGAGTGAACCTGGTATGGTCGCCTTGGCCATTCCATGTTGGTGTGATGCAGGGCAGGATCCATCAAGTGGTGCGCCCGCATGAGGTAGTCACGGAGAGCTTCCAGGGGGGAATTAGCATGCAAATCTACCACTCAGTGTTTGCGTCGGGGTTTATTACCCAGACACGTGTATGACCGAATGTTTGGGCTTGTCTTGCCGCCCTCGTGAGGAGTAGGATTTTCTGGGGCCCTCTGGGGCTCTCTTGGGACTGCTTTGGGGATCACTTGGGCCCCGTGTGCCCATCTTGGCCTGCCTTTGGAGTCTTGGTGTCGTCTTGGGCTGTCTTTGGTCCCTCTGGAAGGCGAGACATTCACAACCATTGGACACTCATAGATGGTCCATCGATTTCGCTGCGTTTGGGCTCCCGCTGAAAGCGCCCTGGACCTGCCCTGGGGTCTCTCAGTGCCCTTTGAGTTGTGCTCGTGGCCTCCTAGGGGCTCTGGAGCCGTTCGTTCGCCGCCTTGCACGCACCCTGCTGGACCTGTCTTGGAGTCTCTCGGTGCCTTGGAGTGATGCTTGTGACCCTCGGGGCGCTCTGGAGACGCTCTCGGGCCGCCCTGCACGCATCCTGGTACTCCCCTCCTCTCCTGGCCCTCCTCTCCTGGTATCCTGGTCCTCCTCTCCTGGTCCTCCTCTCCCTCCTCTCGTCATTCTGGGGCCGTCGTTGGTACAGTCAACCCGCACAGTAAGCATGGGCAACCTTCCCAAGGGTACCCCCCTGCATCCGTGCCTCCTCGGTCCATCCTTCGCCGCTCTCGCTGGCCGCGCCCCGCTCGAAAAGCTTCGAAATGGCCCTCCAAGGCCCTTGCATCCTGATCCCGCATCCTTACTAACATGGCTGACTGTATCCTGGGCCTCCCCTCCTGCTCCCGCACCGCGGCGGCCCCTCAGCCAGCACCCGGACACGAGGTGCCAGAGCACGTCTCCCAGCAGGACTGGCCACCTCTCTTGGGAGGGGGGCTCCGCCCGTCGGGTGGCGGGGAGGGCGGGGGACGCGAAGGAGGAGGATGGAGGCCGTGGGCGGAAGGAGGAGAAGTGAGGAGGAGGGAGGAGGCAGGAGGAGGGGGAGGAGGCAGGAGGAGGAGGAGGATGGGGAGGGGGAGGGGGAGGAGGCAGGAGGAGGAGGGGAGGAGGAGGGGGAGGGGGAGGAGGAGGTCGAGGAGGGGGAGTAGGAGGTCGAGGAGGAGGAGGAGAAGGAGGAGGAGGAGGAGGAGGAGGAGAAGGAGGAGGAGGAGGAGGCAGGAGGCAGGAGGCAGGAGACAGGAGGCAGGAGGCAGGAGGCAGGAGGAGGAGGAGGAGGAGGAGGAGGGATGGATGGATGGATGGATGGATGGATGGATGGGCCATCATCAAAGAGGCCCTGGCGGCCGTCTGCAAGCAGACGACCGCCATGGCCCCAGTTGTCAGGATGCCACGCCGCCGTCCGCACGTGACAGAGCCGGACCACCGCCCAGGCGACGAGGGGGACCCCGAAGCGGCCCCGACAGGCATCGGCCCCAGCCCGGACTGCCACGCGGGCAGCGCAGGCGGACCGAAGCCCTCCCCCGGGGACGGACGGGCAGAGCCAGGGCCGCCCGAGCCGCAGAGCCGCCAGCGGCCGCCCCCACACCCCACGGGGAGGCGGGTTCGCACCGCACTCTCGAGAGCCCGAGCCCCAGCGGCCAGGGCCCCGAAGCGCCAGGCCCGCCGCACGAGGAGGATCCAGCAGCCCGCGGGCCGTCCACCACGCATCACCTGTGCTTGCGCGGGCGCCGCCCGCGGCACAGCTCACGGATGGCGGCTTGGCGCTGCTAGATGTCCTCCTCCACTTCGATCACCTTGTCGGGGCCAGCGGTTTGGACGAACTGCCGCTAGAGGACCACCAGCCTGCGCCGCCCGCCTTCGTAGCCGCGCTCGTCGAAGACGTGGCGGACCTCGCCGCCGCCGATCGCCCTTGTGACGTCGTCCTCGGACTCCGCGGCAATAGCCTTCAGCACGTCGGTGGCCATGGAGTTTGGGGCGCACTTGATGTCACGCATCGTCCGCTCCCCAGTCTGCTTCGCCACAGGCTTCAGCGAGAACTTGTTGGCCTCCAGCGCCTCCGCCTCCACCGTGGCAGTGGTCTCCATCTGGGGCACTCCCACCGTGCCGATCTCGGCACTGTAGACCACGACATCCTCCGCGAGCTGCTCGGCATGGCCGAGGACCTTGTCCTCCCGCTGGGTGTCGCGCTCCTCCTCCTGCTCGGGGCTGCCCCTGACGACCTGCTCCACGTTGCACGGCGCCACGGCGGGCTGCAGCACGAAGTCCACGCCCACCTGCACGACCCCCTTCTTGTTCCCGAGCACCTCCACATCCTCGTCTCGGCGAGCTGCACCACGGGGTCCAGGCCCACCTGCACGATCTCGCTGCACAGCACTGTACCTTCGTCGCCACTCTGCTCCGTGACGGCCCTCGGCAGCACGGCGCTCAACCTTCGCCACGAGCTCCTCGCCGATGCCTGGGTGAAGCCGCCCTCCGAGACTGCTGGGCGCCGTGCCCATGGTCTGCCCCGTCAGCAGCTCCATGTGCAGGTCATCCTCGTGCACCCTGGAGCCAGCGCAAGGGCTGCCGATGTGGAAGTTCTGCTCCCCAGAAACGCCAGAATACCTCACCGACAGTAGCTGCTCCGTGGCGCTGTCGTACGTCGAGGCGCTGCTGTCCCCGCAGCTGGCCGCATCACCTCGGAACCAGCGCTCGAAGTCCTCCGCGATCTCCGAGGCACGCCCAGGGTGCCGCAGAATGCTGGACGCGGCATCCAGCTCCCGGGTGCGCCTGGCCAGCGCGCTGGGGAGCTCCATGCCCGTCTTGCGGAGCGCCTTGATGCCCTTGGCGTAGGTCGTCTTGCCGAGCACGGCGACGATCTCGCATGACGCACCACGGAGCCGCTCCGCCTCGCGCCCGAGCCCAGGACGATCCACGCCGACGCACAGGTCCGCGGCCAGGGGCCCCTCTGGCGAGGTGCTGCACGTCGCGGGGTCCGGTGCCATGGCCAGCTCGACCGCCCTGCGGGCCGCCGCCTTGCGCTCCGCCGACCGCAGCTGGGAGCCCGCGGTGGCGTCCAGGGTAGCCGCCAGGGGGCCCATGGTGCCAGAGCGCGCGCCGCCGCCAGCTCAGCGCCAAAATGGCTTGAGCCAAAATGGCTACGGAGGAGGAGGAGGAGGAGGACCAGTGTAAACCCAAGGGTCACCAACGATGTTGGAATAAGCCCTCCCCCCAAGCTCCCTCTTCAAAGACCCCTGCAACGGTTTGTTTCCACAGGGACCTGCCTCGTTGGAAGACAACCGTTGGAAGACCCTGAAGCACGCCAAAACATTGTTCTCGGGATTTCAACGCCACGGATAAATCAGACTGTGGCGTCATTACGATCCTGAATCGTGCCAGAACGCCATTCCTGGGACTTCAACATTGCGAATCATCGTGATCGTTGCGCCCTCATAGTCGTGAATCCTTTCAAAGCACAATTTCTGGTACGTCGATCACGGGAATCCGTGAAACTCTTCCAATTCTTTAACAGGAATGTGCGCGTCGCGAAGGCGAGAGACACATTTTGAAAAAGGACCCCTCCTCGCTCCGGGAAGCTCGTGTAATTTTTTCACAAGAAACTGCGCCGCGCCAAGGCGAGAGCCACATTTTGAAAAGGAACCGCCCTCAATCTGTGAAGGCTCTTGCAATTTTTGGAAACGAATGGGCGCGGCGCCAAGGCGAGAGTCACATTTTGAAAACCACCCGCCCTCCATCTGTAAAGCTGTTGCCAATTTTTAAGCCCCAGGGTCCAATGATGCGGAAGTCTCAGACGAAACGCCCAGCCCCCCGCCCTAAAATTGGCCTCGGGGTGCGACAGGGAGAAATTATTGATATGGAAGAGGAATGGAGGAGGAGGAGGAGGATGAGGAGGAGGAGGAAGAGGAGGATGAGGATGAGGAGGAAGAGGAGGAGGAGGAGGAGGAGGAGGAGGTGGGGGAGAGGGAGTGGGGGGGGGGGGGCAGGAGGATGAACAAGAGGGAGGTGGAAGGCTGACGAGTAGGGGGGAGGTGCGTGAGGAAGAGGAGGAAAATGAGGAGGATGATGAGGAGGAGGAGGAGTAGGAGGAGGAGGAGAAGAAGAAGAAGAAGACTAAGCATAATCATAACAATCATAAGAAACAGTACGAGTAATACAGTGAGGCCCCTGAAATAAGGTCCAGTTCGGGTTCGGAAGGGGCTCGGTGGTTCCTTGGGCCTGCTGGCGTTCCCTCGCCATTGCGCCACGAAGCCCCCTCGGCGTTCCTTGGGTTAGGGTGCGCGCGCAATCGATTCGCCGAACGGGGCGGATGATCTCAGGAACGGGGCTCGAATAGGGGCTGGGTTCCCTGCGTCGCTGCGAAGATGGTGTGCCGCGGATTCGTTTGGGCCGTTCCTTGCGGCGCGCGTTTTGAGGTTCGCGTGTATAACAAGATACACAAGTGGTCGCGTTACGGCCCTCGGTTCCTTGCGCGACGCGGTTTGAGGTTCACGCGCATGCCAAACTATGACATCTGCAATGTTAGGACCGAGTTCCTGGCGCTAGCCCGTCGGTTCCTTGCGCGACGCGGTTTGAGGGCGGTTCCTATTCTCGCTGCCATTGCTACATCTATTACATGTACTATTACAGTTCCTACTGCTGCTACTCCTGCTGCTACGACTACTATGACTACTACTACTACTACTACTGCTACTACTACTACTACTACTACTACTACTACTTCTATTACTACTTGTAATACTATTACTGCTACTGCTGCTGCTGCTGCTACTACTACTACTACTCCCGCTGCTGCTGCTACTGCTACTACTACTGCTACTTTTACTGCTACTACTACTACTACTACTACTACTACTACTGCCACTACTACTACTACTACTACTACTACTACTACTACTACTACTGCTACTACTACTACTACTACTACTACGACTACTGCTACTACTACTACTACTACTACTTCTACTACTACTACTACTACTACTACGACTACTACTACTCGTATCACTACTACGGCGACTACTACTACTACTACTACAACAACTACTACTACAACAACAACTACAACTACTACTACTACTACTACTACTACTACTACTACTGCTACTACCTACCACTACCACTACCACTACCACTACCACTACCACTACCACTACCACTACTACTACTACTACTACTACTACTACTACTACTACTACTACTACTACTACTTCTACTTCTACTACTACTACTACTACTACTACTACTACTACTACAGCTACTGGGCGCGTCCCAGAAGTTCTTTCCTTCCGGATGGGCCCCCCCATGGGTTTTTCGTTGGAGTCGCGGGGTTGATGCTTGGGGGTCTTCGGGGCTCTCGTCATCCGTGCGCCCAGCTTGCAACAAAGGCGTTGCCGTTCCTTGCGCGACGCGGTTTGAGGCTCACGTGAATACCCAGACAGAGCAGTGGTCACGTCAAGGCCCAGTTCCTCACGCGAGCCCCTCGTTTCCTTGCGATCGATGCAGGTCCAAAGTTGGTCAGGGGGGCTGTCGGGGCTCTCTCTCTCTCTCTCCACACTCGTTCGTCCAGTATTTTACATGAGCAAAAAGCCCAGCCGCTCCTTACGCGGTGCTCACCAGTGTTTTTTTTTTTTCCCCCTGTTGCGCGCCGCGGGCACCCGTTCCTTAGGTCTCGGCAGAGGGGGGTCTCTGCCAAAACGAGAGGCAAAGATGAGGGAGCGCTTCCAAACAGGGGCTCGGTCGTTTCTTACATATTTACCTAACAGCGAAGACTGATAGGTTTCTAGTTGACTCAAAAGAGCTCACAGATCACTCCACAGGGGGGTCCGGGCAGGTGTTGGGGCGTTTCCGGGCGGCATGAGCCGGGCTCGTTTTTCACCAACAGTTACACACTTCGTGCTCTTCGCCTTCCC